AAGGAGGTTGACATAGTTGCTATTACTTTATATATTGCTTATGAATGATAAATCCATGGATAAGTATGCATGCTTTGATTTATTGTGAATGATATTGAGAGAGAGATATATATGAATTCAGGTTTCAAAAGGCCAAGTGGGGAGAATGTTGGAAATATGGCCTATCAAGGCCTAAATTCCAGTAGTCTCTCATTCAATGGGAACGATTGAGAAATTGAAATCTTGGCGTCTTGCGAAATGGAGCCCAAATTCTTTTACCTCGAGTACGCATGAGGCATCGAGAGTTCACGTGTTGAAAAAACAATTTTTCAAAGAGGTGTGAGGGTCGCTTCCTAGTCAGGAATTTATAGGTTAGCCTCATGTTTAGCTGCAATCGACCAGGGCTTGGAGAATCCAAATGAGAAAAATAGAACTCGTGAACTTATTGAGTATTCGCCCTGTATGGAATGGTCAAGACTTATGGGACATAAATCCGTATCCTAACACGAAACCATTGCATTGCATGTGCATTTTTATTTCGTATGGGAAGCCACTCTTCCAGATGCATTATCCGAGTTTGGAAAGAGCCAGTGCACATGGACATTGAGATGACCCTTGTAATTGAGTTGGATCATATCCCATAGGGGTACACCTGTAATCTATTGAGAGCCGAATGATTGGAAGTTCTGGCTCATCAGCTTTGATATAACCAATTATATGTCCCTACTTTAGACTGTGGAGCACAAGTTTATTAGTTTGAATTGAGACTCGACAGAACGTCAAGCGGGACTAGCCCAATGGAGTACTCTAATGCCTATAATTATTAGCCTGAGATCTCACTATACCTTTTGTTTGATTTTATAATGATAAAAAAAACCTAAAAATTGCTAAAAAATACTTTAAATATTTATTATGAATTTTAGAGAATTTTTTAGAATTTTATTTGCTAAAAAAATAAGAGTTTTCATATTGTTTGGCTCAAATTCTACTTTAGTTTTGACCTGGTAGTGCCATGTGGCGTCCGAGTGGCCATAGGGCTGCCACATGATACCCCACACCTCACTCTAGGATCACTGCCCAGCTGGGCACTGATCCCTAGGTGGAGGATTAGATTGGCATTTGTTTGCTTGTTTTATAAGGGGTTGCATTATGGTGTCTTGTTAAATATTGTTATATTTTGTTATATAATGTTATAAATTAAGGCCCCTTTTTTATCACATGTCTTAATTAACTCACACATGGATCATGCATGACATGGGTCATGCATGACATGTGTGAAGTTTAATTAATTAATTTATTTGATATTAAAGAGAAATATATTTTCAAATATATTCACACACATGTGTGAAAGGGACATTATCTTTAAATTGATTGGTTTGAAATTTTAGATCTACAAAGTGATTGGCTTTGATAAAGAATAATATCTCCACATATGTGAGCTTTGTAAATTACTTATTTGGCCTTTAGCCTTTGTGGTTATCTACTCTAATACATTATTAAAAAAACTAAAGGTATTTTTGTAAGGCCAAATTGAATACAATTGGAACAAAAACATGGGCCAGTAACAAAATGGTAAAGTGGCATAACTTAAGGTTAGGGTGAGTGATAATAGTGTGAAATCTCATCCCTTCATCCTAGTGGTTGGATGGAGATATGTGGCTAGGTACATTAGCCTCTCATGTGCCTTTGGATTAGTGCATCAAGGGTGTTGATTGAATCCAAAGTTACACCCATGTTATAAAAGCACACCATGAGATATCAAACCCTAACTATCTTAACTCTTGAACCATTTTGGAAAATTGTATCTCCCCTCCTTCTTCTAAGTTGTTGTGAGAGAAAATTGAAGAGAGAGAGCTTTTAGAGTTCCATTAACAATGATCTTGAGGTGGTCCTCCTTTCTTATGCTTAAGGCCATAGTATGCATTGATCAAGGTAAACTCCATTGAATTTTCTTTTCTCGTAAGATCATATCCTTGGCATCTATAGTTGCTAGAGTTTTGAATTTAAAAAAATTTCATTGATCTTAGAATCCCCATTTGATCATCATTTTCATCATGCTTATTCATAGTGTGGTCCTTCATGAGTTATAGTCTATGTGCATGAGAATCCATGATCATGCATAGTATCATTTAATTACTTTGCTTCAAACCCATCAAATAATTTAGTCTCAGAGTGTCACTCAATTTTTCAGAACTTTTTCATCATGTTTTTTACCTATGGGGGTTCATAATCTTTCCATACAATACTGTTTTGGTGGTCCGAGGGACCACCGTATGTAGTTTGGTCATAACTCTCTTGTTCTTTATCTAATTCGATTCAAACCTTTTGCATTCTGTTTTAGATGATAATGCCAGTGTGTTGAGATATTAAGAAGTGATTTTAATTTGGATTAGACATTCTTGTGTGATTGAACCACTTTTGTACAATCCGAAGGAACAAAATTAAGTCCTTATAGGGTCCGATTGTGTAGCCTCGGCACAAGGGGTTCGAAACATGGCTTCTCTATTTTAATTTGGTATTCTAATTCCCGGTTTAGTTGATTTTATTATTTAGAATTTTTTTTAGATTAGTTGCATGATGTATTTAAGCTTTGGGACATAGTTTATGTAATTTGTGCTATGAAAGTGTAATTCATAAATCAGTCGTGCTTTATATATAATTGCCCCATAAGGGTTGATATTTGAGTTTATTTACAGTAGTTATATAAGGCCAGAAATGGTTGTCATTGTTATGTAAAATGATTGTAACTTATTTTCACCACGTAAAACAAAGCTGATCTCATAGGTATCCTATAAAACTTCCCGTTCAGTTTCATTAGTATGTAGCGATCACATAAAACTCCAATTGCACATCTCCACCTCGCCCACTCACTTAAGCTTTTCCTAAGACTTGCTAACAAAAATAAATAAAAGGAAAAGAACATAAAGGCTTGCATACCTAAGCAATATGCTCTCAACGTGGGGTTCACATTAATGCTTAACTAATGGAAAAGTACATAATAACACAATTAGGTACTAATACAAGGAGGTCAAAATTGTTATTGATCCTTAGATTTGAAATCAGGTAGTTAGGGATGTGCATTGACCAAGCTCAAAGTTTAAAAGAGAATTTCTCGTTATTTATTATATAACCCAAGCCGTAGAATTTGACATCTTACAATTTAGCTTGATTATAACCTTGAAGTAAAAACAATGTTGCTATTAATAATTCTGATGATAAAAGTTTTCCTCTTCTCATAACTAGACCCACAAAACTAACCCATTCCGCCCACCCATGCCCCTCCTCCTCCCCCTCCCCATAGGCTGGCAGTAGGCTAGGCCTGAACCCTGCAAGCCCTAACCATAGTCAGCCCAGATCCCTAAAAGCCCGACTCGGCCCAGCCCAAGCAAGGCCAAGGGAGCCTTTGCCTTGTCTAGGCTGGGTCGGGCCTAACAGTTTCAAATGAAAGAAAAAGGAAAATAATGAAAAATATGGGGTCGGCCAAGGGTGGGGACGGCACTAAGGTCACATTTTATGCCCCCTGGCCTAGTTTTTTAAGGCTAGGGCTCATTGACAGCCCTACTAAAGCCCTACAATAAGTGAAAGTTGAAAATAAGAAATCCAGATAATCTGCCATAAAAAAATCATGGTAATGAATCAATGAAAATGCAAATATTGGAGTGCGCAGAAGTTAGGTGAAGAGGAGAGGAGACCCTAGCTTTGAGTAATTTTCGTGGGGATTAAAGTGCTTTTTGCTGGAAATTTCTTGGTTTGAAGGTTTAAGTTTTTGCCCCTTCTTTTTTTGTCTAGTTCATGGCATTGTATGTGAGCGGAGTTGGATTATGAATTCCCGCTCGTTTTCATGGGATGGAGTTGGATTATGAAGTCCCGCTGGTTTTCATGGGATTGAATGTGAGGTTAGGAGATTATGTATTTTACTTGGAGGATATTATGAAAATGGAGGAGTTTTACTTTGGTGTTTTTTCAAAAAAAAAAAAAGAAAAAAGAAGAGACTATTTACCTTTGATGCATGGAGGTTACAATTATTTACAATCATACGAAGTGAAATTTGATAGCTTGAGTGTGTCACAAAGTTTGAAAAAATTTCTTTTAAACTTTGAGCTTGGTCAATGAAATAAATGCAGCCACCCACTTTCACATTCAATAGTTAAGATTAATTGTGAGCATCTTATACCAAAGTTAAATGGTCTCATTAAATACTTTCCCCATACTATAGTGTAAACATAAAGGAGTCATGATGACAAGTCTCCACAAAGTGATGTCTTGATTTCCACTTCTACCACGTGTAGAAGACCCCTTGCCCATCCGAACTACCAAAAATAAATAAATAAATAGTGTAAACATGAGGAGAGGTCTCCGCTCATGAGATGTGTTTCTCAAGCTCCCCCCTCATAAAATGGGTTATCGCCTACTAAACTCGTGTTGACATTAAAATGGGTATGACAAAGCTTGGATTCCATTACATGCTTTAAAATTTATTAACCATCGCTTGGTTCATATCTTTTCATCCAACCGTTGTTTGGGAATCTATGAGAATCGTGTTACCTTTTCCAACTATTACAGCTAATTCATAGAGATACATCTCACATTTTCTTTGTTGAGTTGTAGGTTTTGAGGAAGCCCATAATTTTTCAACTTCCAATTCACCCCCAAGAAGTCAAAAGAGACAAAAGGACGTAAATTTCCTTTGATAATTTCTATGATTTTGAAGCCAGATATGGCACATGCATTGCAGTAAATATGGAAAAAGATTTTGAAAAGCAAATATTTAAAGGGAAGGTATACGAACTATACATTGGTTGGTATGATCAGTATCACTCCATGATAGAATGATTCTGAACATGGCAACATTCATATGACAATTCCATGAACAAAATGTGGGTTTCAAACCATTTATGTCAACCATTACTTTTACACATGGAAACCATTTGGTATGATCAGTTTCACTCCATGATAGAATGATTCTGGTCATGGCAACATTCATATGACAATTCCATGAACAAAATGTGGATTTCAAACCATTTATCTCAACCATTACTTTTACACATGGAAACCATTATTTACACGTTTAACTCCTGTTCAATGAACATAACAACGGAAAAGCAAATTGAAAGAAATCTATTAAATAGTGTTATTATTTATTAACACCAATAATATCACACGAAAGCAAAGGACTAAAACCATGATATGACCCACACATTTTCGATCTGTTGAAACTGAAAACTGATAGCAACTCAGAGGGGACAGATAGAGCACAAGTCTTCCAAATGTTTGGGCTCATGGACCTGTGTCAGTATACAGGACAGTGAAGCTCAAGCCAAAATGTCTTCTTTTCGCATTGGAATTATTCCGTTCGCATTGGCTTCTTGGGTTGTTCATTTTCTCATCATAGCCACAAATTCTTGGTAGTTGATCCTCCCATCCTAAATGCAAAGATAAGTTTGTTTAGTAACTAAGAATTCACAATTGTAGTTTTCTTGACCCATCCAGCTAACCCTCGTTTGATAGGAGTTTCTAAAAAAAAATGCATGCCTCTGTGAATGAACAAAAATTGTAATAATACACAGCAGTTAAACCCATAGAAAAGGAAATGCCAAGCATTCACGCCAATTCACTGGAGCATATGAGAGAAGTTTTCAGTCCAGAGAAATCTTACATTATCAGTGTCAACCTCTTGAATGACTTCTTTAATGGTGGCGTCATCACCCATCCCATAATCCTTCATGGCTATTTCCAATTCATCTCTTGTGATAAACCTGGAAATACAAGAAAATTGATCATTGTAGAACGAGAAAAACATTCCTAATTGAATGGGAAACAACAAATTAATCTCAAAAGCTCTCTGGTTGTTGGGGACATCATGGCAACTGAACAAAAAAAAAACAGATGGATTAATATAGACCCGCATTCAACTAGGCCATAACACGAGACCCCAAACCACAGGAATTACATATTGACTATCTTGATTTCATTTAGAAGTTAGTTGTGCGCGCATGTGTGTGCGTGCGAGAGAGAGAGAGAGAGAGAGAGAGAGAGAGATGAAACGATCCATATAGCTAGCCAATGCTGCCCCACCTGAGTCTTATAAGTGCAGTTTTTTTTTTAGATATTCTAATAACTGGTAATAACTATATAACCAGTTCTGATAACTATATAACCAGTAAGCACAAACATCACGACCTTATGTAAATAGAACACTGACCCACTATTGTCCGTGTCAAAATATTGAAAAGCTTTGTACAGGTTCTCTTCCCTCTCTAGCCGGTGTCGATGCATAGTGGCCGTGATGAATTCAATGTAATCAATGCTCCCAGATCTGTCTACATCAGCCTGAAACATAGAAACATTCCACATTGCACAACAAAGTTCATATTTGCTCCTACTAAAAGATGGGCAATGCCATACAACATTTAAGTATCTCACCGCATCCATCAGCTGCTTCACTTCAGCTTCAGAAAGCCGTGATCCAAGTCTATTTAACCCAGCCCTTAGCTCTTCATAGGTAATTGTACCACTGCCATCCGTGTCCATATTTTTGAACATTTGTTTCAGTCCCTTGATTTCCTCCTCTGAGAGATTTTCTGCAATAACCTGGAGAATAAAATTTTGCACATCAGTAGCTTATAGAAAATTCATGTGTCGAAACTAGGCCGAGGATTAGGTTAGCTACCTTGAGTGCAAGTTTTTTGAGCTTATTCATTGCTCTGAATTGCTTCATCCTAGTTAGAACTGCACTGCTGATAGGCTTGTCAGATGCTGCATCTGCTTTCATCCATGGATGCTCTAGTTCACAGATCAGAGAACCAGACTAAGATTAATAATAAGTGATAATAATCGTAGAAATAAATTTCATCAGCAGCATGCATTTCACCAGTGCAAAAAAACTGTACATATTCATTGAACTGCAAATGGGCACATGCACAATGAGTTCCAACTTTATCTATCAGTTGATGAAGTACATGAACAATGAGTTCAAACTTCATCTATCAATTGATGAAATTGATTAACTACATCAACATTTATGATTCAGTCTGTCACCAGATGATTCTCCATATTGGGGTGAACTCCAAGCCAAGTCTGAGTTGTTGAATTTTTTGGGAAAGAAAGAAGACAAACTGCAATTATACAAACTGGAAAAAATATTAACTAGGTTTCAATATTAGAACAATATTTCCCATAATTAGCTTTAATGTTTCACCATAATAGCTTTAAGGCACAAGGTCTGAAAACTTGCTGCTAATCTGGTACACAAAGAAAGGCAGGTATGCTATTGGTAGGTACTGCAAATAATAAATTTGCACCACAAACAGGCAAGAAAAATATCGAATTTCAAAAAGTTTTAATTAAGAATCCATACTTTAGTAAAGCTTCATTTAATAAGGAAGATCAACCTCAAATCAACTTTTGAAATCCTTAACTTGATTTCAAATTAGTATGCAGAGATCATAACTAACAGTCGTGAAAATTTTCCCAAAAAAAAAAAAAAAGGCAAGTCTTCAGCATCCTTGATCAATTTACAAAATTATAGGTTAAGTTTTTAGTTATCAAACTACATGCAACCAAACTTAAACAATTTTTGACAAAATTAAACAGACCATTCTCAAAGATAGCAAGTTGTAAAATCACAGTAAAAACACCATAGTTCCTATTGATTTATATTTATGGAAAAGTTTCCCAAGAGACCATTTACTTCTAGCACAAGGAGGTCACAATCATTCTTGTCCTTCAAATTTAAAATTGGTTGATTGTGAGCATGTCACTGATTAGACTCAAAGTTCAAAAAAAAAAATCTCGAACTTCATGACGCACCCCAAGCCATCCAAATTGACATCTAGGCTAGGGTAATTAGGACCTCCTTGTAAGAAAGATAAATGGTCTCATAGTATACAATTCCTATATTTATTTATGAGCTTTTTATACCATTCAAGAACGGAGTGATCCCAAAATTTGAAACGAAAATTATGAAAACTCCTCTTATCCTAAAACGAGCACCAAAATGTGTGCTATGGCCTTTCACATATTACAGAAAAAAAGAATTACGAGTCAAATCTGTTAAATCAAATAAATTCCTAATCGATGAGGAATGTTGTTGTTCTATTTAAAGCATTCCCCAATTCATTTCCATTTTTCGTAATAAAAGAGAACCACGTAGTGAAATGATACAGCATAAAAGTAACATGGTAAAATACAACATAGATACCACATTTTGCATGTTAGGAGTACCATCAGCTGATGAAAACAGGTAACCATAACAATCAGGAATTTTGGAGAAAGGTTTTGATGTGATATGAAACTACATGAGCTTTAAAAAGCAGGAAATTAAGAATGAGGAAGTTCCAAGCAAAGGTTTTGATGTGATATAATTCTATAAGAGCAATAAAAAAAAAAGACAATATTAGCCACTCAATGAAACCATAACGGGGGAAAGAAGGCATATTCATTGAAATTTTTTATATTGTTGTGCAGGCCAATTGTGATACACAAAAACCATCTAGAATTTGACCATTGTAAGGAGCAATAGACAAAGTAGTCACCAAGAACTTGGCTAGCAGTAATCCGATTTTTTGGATCCTGTGTTAACATCTTCCTGATCAAATCTTTTGCAGAATTAGATATGGACGGCCATGGATCACTTGCAAAGTCAATATCACCTTGTAAGATAGCATCAAATATGCCTTTCTCTGTTTCTGCAATCATTCAAATATTCATCCAGGGTAAGAAAAATTGTCCAAACATATGAAATACAGTAAGTGATGATATTGAATGGAAAGGGGAACTATATTATATTCCAACAGACTATGAAGAACGGACCATAGTCCGTTATGTGATCACCATCCACTGAATGATGGACATCAATACAAAAAGGGTGGGAGCAACCAAAAGACGAAATGTTCCCAAAGGTAGGTCCAATCCCGCACAATCACCATTCATCATTTCAATGAACATGATTGCTAACCGAATACCCCATGCTTTTTCCACAGTCCATGGATTAGAGTCCATGCTCCAAAGACGCAGATAAGAGTCGCCTTTTCTCATAGAAATGCATGTCAGAAACACCAACTCTGCAGACATGAGGCATCCACAGACCATTCTGTGTCTCTTTTGTTGTCTTTTTCTTTTTTTTCTGGGTGTGTGTGTGTGGGGAAGGGGGGGGGGGGCGGGGGAGTGACAATTAAAGAAAGGAGGCATGCAGAAGAGCCTACGCTCCTAAAATACAGGACATACATGTTCTGCTCTAAGTGTGTTGAAACTTGCCCAAAACCCCAGACAAATATGCCTCAATTCCATAGATTCTAGTCTAAACTTCCATATGAACATGACATAATTGAAAAGAAAACTACATAAAAGAAATTCATATTTTACCAGCCCAGAATGGTGGCACTCCACTAAGAAGAATATACAAGATAACTCCGGCACTCCAAACATCAATTTCCTTCCCATAATTGCGACGCAAGACTTCTGGAGCCACATAGTAAGCACTCCCTACAATCTCCCTGTGTACTTTGCCTGCAAAAAGTTGCTTTTTCAGTATAACATTTCCAGCACATCATATCCATACATATTTGCGTGTATCATATGTAACAATGTTTGTGTGCATCCAGGTAAGCATTCTGCTAAAAATAGTATATACATTTGTGATATGTGTGTGTGTACATCCCATGGAGTTACAAAATTTCTTCATAAGATATAATTAGATTATATCAGGAAATAGAAGCTCATGTTTATTCCAAAAAAAAGAAATAGAAGCTCAAGTTTTCTCCAATTTTCAATATATGCATAAAATAATTGAGACACAAAACGTAAAGGCTATATTCGGAGAGTTAATGACAGGAGCACCTATAAAATAATTTTCATGCATTTTGAATCCAAAGGAACTTTTCCAAAGCATTATTACACCTCAACAAGAAGGTTATTTCAAACGAAACACAGACATCCACATGAAACCTTTAAAACTATGGTTTCTTCTAGAACTGTACAAGGAATTTGGGAAAGATTTTGAAGATCATAACAAAATAGTTAATTTTTTTGAAATGGACAAAATAAATTGAAATAATTAAAATAAGAGTAAATCAGGAATCTTTCTTTTTTGAAGTCACTCTCGATATTACAATATTTCTCATAAAAACCACGACAAAATCATAACTCGTGGTTGTATTCTGGATGGAACCAGAAAATTTTATAGTCAGGATATTTGGATGCTTAATATCATAAAGATTTGAACTTGATTACAATCCACCAAAATGGATTCTTCAATATTCTCCATTGCAAAAAGGATACAAAAGTAATAATCTGCCGTCCTCTCCCTGCACTTTGATATTTATTGTAATGCTATTTAGCAACTGATTATTTGAAACCACAAAATTCCACTTTCATTTTTGAATCACATTCTCATAATGTAAATGACACGGTGTCACCACCCTCTTATTCAGTAGATTATGTCCATTGTCCTAATACAGGCAGATTCAAATACATAGGCACCACAATCAGTTGAACAAACATGTTATTTCACATGGCTTGTCTCATCTTGCATCAGCAAAGGTGAACCTTCATCTTATTCAGCCATTTTTTTTCGCTTGTTTATGCCTTTTCCCTCCCTTTAATATTTTCTCATAGTTATCAATTATTTAAATCTCTTCTAAATAATCTGATGTTAATTACCAAGCTTGGTTGCAAAAAACAATGATGAAATTATGAACTTCATGAGAATTAAGAATGGAATTCACTGATTTACCAAAGTCCACTTCTTGACAAAAACAAGCTATTTAACACAAGTGAGTGTACATCATTGAGAAAGAAGTTGACGGATCATTTAACAAATGAAAGGCATGTGTAGTTAGTTGCATAAGCATACATGATAGACTTTGAGGAGAAAATTGCACTTACTGCAAAGATGATCAATTTGACTCTCGTTGCTATTATGACAATCAGGAAGGATTCATATCAATGGATGTGAAGAGTGTAGAGGCAGTCTGATATCGCTCCTACATATCCTACATCTTCCTCCTCCACTGCATCATACCTTCTTAGGATTCATATAGTTTATTTTGTTTCCTTGGGCATGATGTCAAAGACGAAAATCTTTTTCTGGGCCATGTAGAGAACTTTTACTTATTCCATGCTTGTGAACTAAAGGTCCCTAAGGCATGATGTGAATGATGTAGTACTTGCTTCTGACTATTTAGATGGTTTTGCTAATTCTATCTCATCTGAGATGGTCTCCCAATGAAGTCTCTATACTTCTTATACACGTGGATGATAATGTCTTAATCTGTGATGAACATCAGGCTAACACATTCCTGAAGAATCAGTTACAGTCACAATTGTCAATTCATATGAAGGATACATCAAAGATATCATATAGTGTTTTGGATTTGCTCCAAAATGAATTCTGTGAGGGTTCCAAACTCAATTGTGGCAACTACACGAGAGTTGCGCTCATTGCGGGACTTAATCCAACACCTTACGGCACGAGCTGACAACAGCCATGCACACCTGTGTTCACGACATTACCACCTGTGTTCACGGCATGTCAAGCCCTGGTAAGGTCACATGCTCCACCGAGTGTGCTGGCCCTTGTCAATTCCTTGAGTTTCATTCTTGCGAACATACGGTAGCTGAAACGGCGGATTCACCTGGCTACATTGCAATATCTCACACCTTATACAGGAGCAGCCTTGGCTGGGCAGGACACAGTACAAGTAGCTATACCTTTTTCTTATTCAAGACGTGTCTTCTTACAAAGGATACATCTTTCACATCATAGGAAAAACTGAAATCCCATTTATGAGGCAATTACCATGTTCATGGTCAACTTGAGTTGAATGAATACTCAAACCCAAATGGTTAAAGTGTTCCAGAGCCTACATTATCCAGGCAGCTAGTTGGCAGTAGAAAATGAGAATAACTAAATTACTTTTGTGTGTCTGCCCTCATACATTCACATACACATAGACCATCGGATATCAACAATGCACTACATACACTGGCACATCCATGAGTCTATTAAGTATGCAGCAGATATTTGGTCAACTAAGAGCTGATGATAAGAAGAACACTATCTTGAGTTGCATTTGAGCATTTCAATTATAACCCAAAAGGAATATTGGAAATCCACGACAAATATTCGGATCACTTCGGTCTTTCAGTTATCACCACCAAAATTCTCATCTCATTGGATTTAAGAAAGTCATTTATCACAGGTGCTGCCAGGGTAAAATCCTCAACAACTACATTCTATAAAACTGCAATATTTTTGCAGCTTTAGAATAAACAATTGGAAATTCAGTGCTGAGATATGAAACATCTACCAAACTCTTCCCATTTCATCCCAAATTCATTGGCTGCAATAACTGTGAGGGATCCAAATGAATAGCTCGTTTCGCAGCATTCCTGATCAGCAGATGATGTCTGTGATTTTGTATTTTTTTAATTATTTTGAAATATCTCTAAACAATTGATGTTCCTAAGAAACCAATAAGTACAATAACTAATACAAGCTTTAAATTAACCATGAAGTCAAACCACACTGTGTGCCATGTGATATAACAGCAAGGTTCACAAAGAACATAAGAAAAAATAGACAACCAGCAGCAAGAATTAGCATCGGACTCAACCCAATGAACAAGAAACTAACAACCAAGATCAACTTAAAAGAATCAGATCCAATAGATGAAGTAAAGAATTGAAAACCCATCAATACAAGAAACTAGCATTAAACATGGGCCTGAACATGAATTTCAATGAAATAAAACCGCCATCAACAACAAGAAGCCTCATAAAAAAACCACTACGCCAAATAAAGAGTCATAAACAGTCAACAAGATCATAAAACTGAAAGAAAAAGAAAATGACAAGAATTCGATCAAAGAAAGGGTAGAAAAAAAAAAAACAGAGGAACCACTAAAACCAAAGAAATTATTTCCCCTACCTTCCTCAATGAACACAGAGAGCCCGAAATCAGTGGCCTTGAGAGCGGCATTCTCATCCTTGCTAGTCAACAAGAAATTCTCAGGCTTGAGGTCTCTATGCATTACCCCCATGAAATGGCACACATAAACAACATTCACAATCGCTCTACAGACCGAGGCCGCGGCCCTCTCTGAGTAGCTCCCTTTTGCAATGATTCTATCAAATAACTCACCACCAGAGCAAAGCTCCATAACCATATGCACAGATTGCTTGTCCTCATAAGCCCCCTTAAATTCCACTATGTTGGGTTGTCCAGTTAGGTGTTGAAGTATAAGAACCTCTCTCTTAATATCCTCAACATCAGATTTACTCATCAGCTTCCTCTTCGAGACCGATTTGCAGGCGTATTGTAAGCCAGTGGTTCTCTCTGTGCAGAGATAAGTGACCCCAAATTGGCCTCTCCCCAGTTCTCGATCGAGAGCGTAGAGAGACGATACATCCACCATGGGTTTCCCGAGAATGGTGTTTTCAGCTGAAACGTGGGACTTAAGAGCAGAAGTGAGAGGGAGAGGCTGTCGATTTGCTGATGGGTTTGAAGGGGTTGCTGGTTTTCTGGTTTGTTGGTGAGTTGATGGGCGATTTGCAGGCCTTGTGGGTTGTTCTTTCTTGGGTAGGCTGGGTACAGGTGAAGAGCCATTGCTGACCGGCAATGTTCGGCGAGGGGGGGACTCAGGGAATTTGGGCTTGCTGAAACAGTCACCCATTGTATTGAGACTACAGAGATGTCAAAGTGCTTTTTATAGAGAGAGAAAGGTTGAAGTGCTTGGTGACAGCGCAGCGGGCGTGCAGTGGGATTTTAAAGCGAAAATGATACAAGGGATGAGAGAAAGTGGGATTTAGAGAGATAATGATACAAGGGATGAGAGAAAGAAGAGAGAGATTAAAGATTTTAGAGAGAGAATGATACAAGGGATGAGAAAGAGAAGAGAGAGATTAAAAATTGACTGCAGCGAATACAAAAGGGTTTTATAGAGCGAATACAAAAGGGTTTTAGAGAGAGAAAGCCAAACGAGCATGGGAGTCAGGTAACTAAAGATAAGCGGACAGCAATGGCAGAGCGCCTTTTTGAGAGAAGGATCAAAACGTGCCCATGGCAAGAAAGTGAAGAAGTAATTGCGACGAGGATTGCAGAGTAGCTTTAAGAGAGAGAAAAACACGATTACAGATGAGAAAGAAAGAGAGATTAGTTGATCATTAAAGCCATACTCATGCTCCTCTAGAGGGAGAGTTCAAAGCAGAGCTGATAAGAGAGGTGATTAGTTGCAGTGTAGTTTTCAACTTTTGAGAGAGAGAGAGAGAGAGAGAGTTGATGAGAGAGAAAGCCAGAGAAGAGTTGATGAGAGAGAAAGAGAAAGAGAAAGGGAAAGCTTTGGTATAAATGCGCACAAAGTAAAGAGAGCGAGAGAATGACTTGTGGAGCGATCACAGGAATCCATTACCGAAATGCCTCACCAGAAAGCGAGAGTAGAGTGTACGTGCTAAGAACGCTTTAGCTTTCATCCTAAATGACATCTAAAACCCTAACCTTTATACAAATGCTACAACTGTCCCAAACTCGTTTTAACCTACTACTCTAGGGTAAATTAGGGTTGAAATCTCTTACCAAAGTCGGTTAAGGGGTCAAATGATCCTAATTAATTAATGGAAAAAGTTTATATAAGGTTGCAGCCTTCAAATATATAAATATGGATGCACCTCAAAAATCAATCGAAAAAGGTTGTTTAAATGTTGAAGAACCTTCTATCTCGACATCGAAATGTATGGCTATGAAAAAAAAAAAGGATTTTGAATCTCATAAATAGTCACTGTCTTACAACACATTATCTAGACTGTCAATTTTCAAGATTTTCATATATTTATAGATCTACTTGATTTTAACTATTTTTTTAGTTTAAAATTTTATAATTAGATATGAAAATAGATTTTGAGATAATCTTGAGAATATTTTATATCAAAATTACATGTTATGATAAATTTTGAAGGTGTGCTTTAATTGGATTGTTTAAGGTTGCAACCTTATGAAAACCATACCCTTAATTAATACTTGATGATTTTTTTTTTTATATAGGTGAGGTCGGTTGTAACATTAAATAATCAAATCAATACACGCTTTTGAACCTTTTCATATGATATCATTTTACTGTTGACATTTTTTAAGGATGACCCAAGAACCTAATTTGATTTTAATTATAAATTTTAGACTCCAAAAATGGTTCAAATCATCTATAAACACATGAAAATATTGCAAATGAACGGTCTGGTCCCAAGATGTACTACTTTTGGGACTTCAAATCTTTTTTTTTCTCCTATATTTATACATCTCAATATCGATATGATCAATTCGATGGTTCTCAATATCAAATTAATATTTTTCCAATGGATTTTTGAGGTGCAACTTAATTCTACAATCTAATCTAAAGGTCAACCTTATATAATTTTTCTCTTTTTATTTTATTTGAATGTTTTCATAAAATAAAAATTCTTAGTTTAAAATTGGGGAGGGTTATTTGTAATTCTGAACAAAAGGGTATTTTTTGTAATTGGGTCACCTGGGTCAAATTGCTAAGATATTTCATGTTGTCCATCCTTCCCCATGATTTAAAAAAGGATTGAGCAACACAAAAATCAATTCGGATTGATGAATCGGCGGTCCGGATTGCCATTTCACTGTCAAAAATATACATGAAAAAATAGTGAATCAACAAAAAACCATATCAGTGAATTGAATTTTACTGTAGTAAAATGTTGTTTTTAATGTAGCAAAGCGGCAATTTTAGTATAAAAAAATGTTATTTTTTAGCACAGGATGACCGATTCTATGGTCAAGCCAAGTGATCATGTGCCTATCAATGTTTTTTAAATCACTGGATTCCTTCCCAATTATAAAAAAGGATGGTTTAGAGGAGTCTTTATTAGTTTTTTAAGGTACCCGAGTAGAATAAAAACAAAAAATAAACTACTAATTGATATCCTTTAGCCCCTTCGATAATTATTATAAAGGATTTTAACCTCTTGAATCGTATTTTTGTTTTTTTAACCTTTTACTATATAGTAGACGAGGTGATAAGGTCCGATGTATATAAGGGTATAATTGTCCTCTTATAAGACTGGATATTTTGGGCATCTGAACTTATAACGCGGTATTTAAGAAAGGCAAGTAATGCGGTTCAAATTCCCGCGTGGTGGTGCAGGGCCATGCCTGCTAAGTGGTAACCCACTCTCGGACGATTATACCCTTGTACGTGTCTCCTAGCCGATATTTATCAATATAACTTTTTATCTTTAATCTATTTTCCATTAAGTTGCATAAGGTTGCAACCTTAAACAAACAAGGTAAAGCGCATCTCCAAATTTTATTATAAAATATAATTTTGTTATAAATTTTTTTTAGAATGGCTTGAGATTCTATTTTTATTTTTAATTATAAAATTTAAGCTTTTAAAAGTGGTGTCAAATCAAATAAATCTATAAACACATAAAAATATTGAAAATAAATGGCCCAGATAATGTGTTGTGAGATGCATTATTTTTAAAAAAATTACTTTGTGCGGGCTGGACTACATAACTACATATGCGGTCCAAAAAAGTATAAAGCATTTCTCTTAAAGATGACACAAATAGGTGTTCCATCTAAAACCAATGGACGCTAAGCTAACGATTTTCTTATGAGAATTATTATTTCTAGTTTTTAAACTTTACTTATTTTTTCATATTCATAATCTCCATGTTAGATATTACATGTATTTAAAAATTAAGTCAAAAAATCCATCTCAAAAATAGACTTACTAATAGGCCCACATTGCAGGCTTGACCGCATAGAAACCGGGTCTTTATTTTTAAGACTCGAAATCTTATTTTTTTTATTTATATATATCTCGATGTATGAATAATCAATTAGAGGGTTTTCCAACTAGCACCTTAATTCTAAAGTTGCAACCATAATTATATAAACTTTTTGCTTTCATTAACCATGCAAAATTGATATTTATTTTCTTGAATTGACATGTTTCTCTCAAAAAGAATACAATCATTTGAGTTATTTTTGTTCATGGACGTTGCAATCAAAGATGTGAGATAGAGGTGTCTATTAGGGGCTCTAAGTCTAAAAAAAAATAAAAATTTATCAAAATATCGAAGAGAGGAATTATTATTCTAGCCAATTGTTACTATTTCCAACTAAAGATCATGTATTTTTTATAGATATTTTTAAATTCAAAAAAAATATATGAGTAAGATATTAAATTATTCAGCTCTTGTGGTTAAGTTGATAAATTTCTCAAAAATAAAAAAATTAAAAAAATCGAGCTTTGTGAACATACCAAAACTATAATATAATTAGTATTTCACATTTGATGGTTAAAAGTGATTATGATTTCTTTATACTTAATATAAATAAGTTGGGCAAGCTTTTTATGCTTCCCCTGTGTAAAACTTCTATACTTCCTCCTAAGTCAAACCGTCTACTCTAAATGGACGGCTTAGATGGCCCCAATTACAATATCATATCTCTATACGATTTTATTTTTAATTTTTTTTATACAAAAAATTTTGACACCAAAAATTGGGTGTCCACTCCTATAAAAAAGATAAAAAAATATTCTCAATAAAATAACTAAAATACCTTTTGAAAGTTTTAGGGGTATTTTGATCATTGTATTCTATCAAAAATATTTTTTAACATTTTGTTTAGGTGCATCCCATTAAAATAATGACACGTAGAAAATTTCATATTCATATAATTAGTAGAAAAAAATTAAAAATAAAATACTTAGAGGCATCGGATCTAGATTAAATGATCAGTTGCTCATTTGATCTATAAATTGGACGGCTGGATGAAGGGAGAAGTATATATCTTTTATGATATAGGGGAGCATAGAAACGTTTTCCAAATAGTTTTATAGTATAAAATTCAATTTTCTTCTAAAAAAAAATTGAATCTACAAAGCCAGTCAAGATTTGGAAACTCTCAAACCCTAGTTTGGGTAGGAGTTGCAACAGGTCGGGTCTGGTCTGGTTCCAAAACCCGAAAAAATGGGATCCAAACCTGACTGGACCCATGTCCCAGCCAAACCGGACCCAACCCAAAAATTAAAATATCTATGAATTTAACTATATTTAAATATATTTCATATATTGGGATTGAAAAAATATTACCCGACTCGGGCCCGAATTTTTGGAGACCCGACCCGCAGAGTCCAATTTTAGATCCATACCCGGACCCAGAACGGGTCTACCCCTTGAATCCCAGGTCGGGTCCGGGTCCATGCTATAATTCCAATTTCTTCAAACGGGATTGAAATCTTGCAATGCTATAATTCCAATTTCTTCCTTTGATCTCACCTAACAGTTTAATTGTAGCTTTTAGTTTGTCCTTTCGGTGTAGCATTGAGCAATAGGATATCAAAAAGTTCGCAGCTTTTACTGTCATAAATAAGACCTTCCCAAATTACGATTTTTTCTTCAAATTCTGGAAGTATTTTTCGCATTATACTACAATACATAAAGCTAAATTTACAGTGATATCACCTCAGCAAGGATGTATTCTTGGTCTCTAGTTCATATTGGTCGGGGTAAGATCTTCTTTACATGTTTAATACTTTTTTTAGGGATGTTTGTATGTATTTATTTTCACTACTGATAATACATTGTTTCAAAAAGTTAATTTTGACAATGAATTATCTATTGTTTAGAAAAGTTCATCATACAATTATCTAAAATAAACTTATAGGTAGTTTTATGGATAATTTTTTTTTTTAAAGGTAATTTTTACTTTATTCACAATAATTTGTTGAGAATCGCATTTTTTTATATAGGAAATAGTTCAAAATACAAGTAAATTGTCAAAAATTAAATAATTAAATAATATGATGCACATACAACACATGTACCAAAAATTATGTAGATTATATTTGTTTAAGATAATTTCAGATAGAAACATCAAACAGGCCCTTAGGTAGGTAATTATGAGCATTAAAAGTGTAACAAGACTAAAACTCTTGATATTTATTCTATAGACGAATGTTTTTTTTGGGGGGCTCAAATTCAATTCTTAGTCCTGCATGTAAGTCAGTTTCAGATGACATCCTTATCGATCTCAGCAACCACTATGTTCTTCTAGAAAGAAAAAAAGAAAAAAAGAAAAGGTCCGAAAAGTCAAATGACGTCTAATCCAAAGGGGACTCTAAACTGTCGATCAACCATTTTCTTTTGCAAGACCTAGATTTTATGAAAATAAAATGAAGTGTCACCTCATATTACCCAGAAAGTACTTTTATTAATGAAAATCTCTATAATGGCTCTAAAATAATTTTTTGACATTGACAATAAAGTTTGATACTCATAGAGCTGAACAGGATATGTGAACACTTATTTTTTTAAAAAAATAGACGATTTAGATAATTTGTTACAACATAAACTATATTTAGATATTGAAATC